CGCCCAATTTCAATAGGAAAAGTGACCTCTCTAATGAGACACCCACCAGATGGCGCATCGAGTTGGGTGGTAAACCATAGATGTTTAAAGGTCGTTTTTACCTTCTTTATCTTTGGGTTTTACAATCGTTAGATAAGCTCTCTGGTGGATAATTTTCTTGGATAGAAGGTTTCTATGAAAGTTATCCGCCAAATAAGCTAACTTAATCTAACGATTGTAAAACTGGCTCTAAGTCCTTAAAGTCTATGGGATAAAAGTCAAATGAACTACCTACTTATGTTCTTCTTCTTCTTCTTCAATCTGAACACACACTGTGTTCAGGGGTAATGGCCTTTAGCTTAATTAAAAGCTATTTGGCCAGCTCATTATGTTTTTTGAATGTTTATATATGTTCAAGGGTCTCAATTAAGAGAATCTGAGTACAACTCATCCCTTAAATCATTTATTTTAAATTATTATTGTTCATAGTTCATTTTAATATTAATCTTTGTCTAATTTTTTTCACAAATTTCACTGTATCACTTAAAAAAATTTTCTCACACTTATTTTTCGATATATTCTTGTTTATTTATTAATATGTCCATTTTCTTTCTTCGTTTTTCTTTTCAATACATTTAACATTGTCCAAAATTACTTATCATCATACATAACATTACACTTTTACAATCATCCATATAATTTAACCATTAAATATTTCGTACCAATTTGTTTTTCATGTATAGATTTTTTATTGCTCAACCTTCATTTTGTAGTCCATTCCAACCATGCACCATGGCGAATGGCTCTATGCACATATTATCTTTAATTATTTTGACCATCCATCGTGGAAATTATTCAGGAATCAAATTAATCTATTGTAGATTTGTATTAATTGTACTGACCAGTGTATTTTTGTACTGGGAGTCCCATGTTGTCTTCTCAAGGAAGGCCGTCTACGACCTGTCTGCTTCAGCAGACAACACAAAACTCCCTACTTATGTTCACAGCTGTGTTAAGAAACATAACCTACATTTTTATAAACAAGCTTGTGTGTTTTGTTACAGGGAGTTTTTACTTATTGTTATTGTGATATTCGTTATTGTTATATTATATTGTTCTATTTTTTCTTGTTATATTTGTTCTTGTTATATTTGTTCTTGTTATATTTGTTCTTGTTATATTTGTTTTTGTTATATTTGTTCTTGTTATACATTTGTATTTGTGCTTTTTAATAGACATGAAGTCCTGTGTTGTGCCAAAATGTAACCAGCAAAGCCATCGTTCCGGCATTAAAATTAAGCGGTCCATGTTTAAAGTGCCAACAAATAAGGAGCAGTTAAAAACATGGCAATGTGCAATAAAAAACATACTATTGAAACCTTCACATTTTGTATGATTAATTTATAATTAAGCACATCGTGTTGGTGAAATATATATTATTTTAAATAAACAATCAACCCATCCCCGCCAAGACAATAAAAAAATAGGTTATTAATAAATTAGCCAGAATATTGGTTGGTTAGTTTGTAAACTATCTAAAGCTTGGCTATGTTGTGTTACTAGAAATTTTGGTTTTCATATTAGCCAAATTGAATTGGATAGTTTACAAATTATCCAGCTATTCCTAAATAATTTCAAGTAAATTAGCCAAGACCCTTGGTTGGTCTACAAACTAGCCGCTAATTTAGTTAAAAATACGTTTTCAATTAAAATAGCTGACAGTTTGGCTAGTTTATAAACTACCCAGCTACTTTATAAACTATCCATGTTTACACATTAGCCGTAACATATATATGATATACGTATGTATTTTATACATTAACATGTTTTACTTATGTACATGTTTGGTCTGGGCATGTGACGGCCGAGGACTTTGTGCATAGAGTATAGACTTTGTTGTCCTATTTTGTTAACGTAAATTATCCGAAACAAACTCACAAATATTAAATTTTTGAAAATGTAAACAAAACATAGAAAAAGAATTTAAAAAGTTAGGTTATGGTTATGCAGTAGTTCCACATTTAACTAAGTAGTAGTTTAATTGACTTTACCCCTTCGATCTTAGCGCCACCTAGCGGCTTGGCACGTTAAGGAAGCCACCTCGAAGCTTAAAGTTGCAGGACCTGTATATAAGACCGTGGTTTTGGCCAAAGCAGCCAGAAACTACTTGATTGAACGCCTCAAATACGGGTATATATTCATTGTCTAAAATAGGACTTATAAATCAGTAGGTAGAAAACATCCAAACAAAGCAAAGCTTATTATAATAGAAATATATAATATGAACTTGCTTCGATGTCTTTGTGCATACAATAGTCAACATCTGTAGGCTTAGATTTATTTTGTTGTTTTTTACATTTTTGTTAAAGTTAATTAATTTTTACGTTTATAATTTTGAATAATGCATTCAGAAGAATAAAGTTTGAGTTTCCTACTATCGTATGAGTCTTTCAAATTAAAAATATTCTACAAATATTAACTTTGAGACAGTTAAAATATTATCAATATATGATACTACACATAAATTACGAAGAATTGATCGCTATTTCTCAAGATCTACATGGAAGATTTACATTTTACTTTTTTTTGAATACTTAGTTGGTAAGTATTTTTTTTAATGTTTCAAAGTTTATTTTTTTCGTTAAAAACGGTGTTCGGTGAACCGTGAACAATTAGACCAAGGGATGAGACAACTCAGATACTCTTAATTGAGTCCCTTGATCTTGGTGGCCAAATAGCTTTTAAATTAAGCTAAAGGTAATTTCTCTGAACACAGAATTGTGATCAGAATTATGAAGAAGAGGAACATACCTTTATACTGATTTTCGTTCAAATCGAGTTGTTTAAAAAAAAACTTCTTATCATGTTTAATAAGCCACATTAATTTTTTTTTAATCCAAAGCTTAAATTCGAAATCAGCGACCCAAATCACCTCTCCATACTGATTTTGGTCTATATCAAGTTAGATTTTTATGTTGGATGCGCCATATTATTTTTTTTAATTCTAACCTTAAATTTGTAATAAGCGACCCAAAACATTCCTCTATACTGATTATAATCAAAATTATCCTTCAAATCGAGCTAGTTTTCAATATTTTTTGTACTTAGATTCGTAATCAGCGATTCCGTGGTATTATACCTATACTTTTGACCAGATTTCGGTGATTTGCGTTCAATAGGCGTTATACTTTTTAATTGTCTAAGCTTAAAACAATATAAACAAGGTTTTTAAGTTTAAAAACTTAAATTTTACGCTCTCGCATCATTTTAAATAATGCAAGTATAATTTTTTTGCAATTCTCGGGGATTCCCGTGGGTCTGTAGTAGGTCTATGTGGTGCGCGACTTTTGGGACACATTGTTTCCAATTAAGTACTAGCTGTTCTCATTAGACATAAGTTAAACATCTCTTTAAAAACAAGGCTAATTGCAACTTGAACATAATAAACATAAAACTTAGTGTAATGTTGATACTTCTTAAATTTTTAGCGATATTATTTTAAAATAAATTGTTTTATGCCAATTCTCCATACTAATTATTGTCTTTTTTGCTTAGTATTTTTAATTTGTTATAAGAAATATGTTTTAAAAGGTAAACTTTTGCATTTATTTACTGATTTGCAGTTTAAGAGCCATTAGACATAAATAATAACTACATTAATTAAAACCTGGCTCAATATCTTCATGCAAGATGCAAAAAATTAACAGTATTTAAGAGTATAAAACAAAATTGAATGGTTTCTAAAATTGCCAGACACCAAAAAAGATAAATAAAAACAAAAACATTTAATAAATGAAGAGCCAGGAGAAGTACAAATATCTACAAACATGCGAATTTATAAGTCTCACCTGCCGGATCGAATATCAAAATTATTCACCCTTTGATAGGAGGGTTTATATTTGCTGAAAGAGAAACACAATATGAGATTTATGAATTACTTTTTTTATTTGTCTATATATATATCTTCTCTGGCTTTTCACTTTTTTGGCTAATCTTAGTGACCACTCAAACACTGCTGTGCACTGACTAAATAATCATTTTTTACTTTTAACATTGTAATTGTAATTATTAATTAGTAATTTGTGTAAAAAATATTTGGTTAGGCATGTGCAGCTAAAGAAAATATTAGTTATTTTTAAGATTCATTATAAAAATGCACTTTAGCAGTTAAACACAGAGCTGGCTAAGTACTTAGTACTTTTACTCGTATTTCAATTGGTATTTTTCATTTGAAATACTTATTACTTGTACTTACAAACCAAATTCAATGCACTCGTAAAAAACACTCGTGGAATTCACGAGTATTTCCGTTTATTATCGATGACTTTTTGTCAAAATATCGCAAGCATCAAAACATTTTGTTTGGAAGTCTATTTTAAATTATATAACATATAGTAGGTATAATATAATAAATTATAGCCTATAGGTTTTATAACAAGTATATAGGTAAAATTATAAACTATTTAAGAATTGTTATTTTTATTTTTATAGCTCAGGACATGTATAAAGAATAATCAATTATATTAATTAACATTAATTTTTTCAAAAGTACTCGTTCTCTTTACTCGTGTTTTCACGATTACTACTCGAAACCGTAACCTCTCTTTACAAATGTACTTACGAGTAAATATTTTAAGTACTCCTACTTAAAATTTTATAAATACTTTTTTAGTACTCGTGCCCAGCTCTGGTTAAACACTAACAGGAAGCAACATTAGTATACAATTGGATTATGGTCAATAATTTTAATACATATTTTATTAATCTATAAAATTAGCGTTTAATAAAATTCCATATTATTTGACAGGTTAAAACTTTAACTTTGAACAAGTTGAAGTCAAAAAACAATGATTAATTTTAAGAGCAAGGTTTATTTACTAATTTATTTCATACCGTCTGGGAAAGTCCTATACATTTTATTGTTAGATAAATGGATAGTATCAGGGTTAATTCACTATTAAAATATATTGTTCTGCTTTACTTGTTCTAAGGCGCAAATAAATAAGGGGAAAAAAACTTACCCTCCTATGGACGCTAATTTCGTATTTTCGAGCTGCCTGGCCGCCTCTTCGGTTCGCTTTAGCAGCAGTACTTTTTGAGAAAGGCTCCTAAAATGCATGTCTTGCAGCAGCTTGGCGTGCTTGCGGCTACCCTCGCACGTCGATATCACTAATAGGGTAGCCTTTTCGGCGTTGTAAGTGATCAAGCCGGCGTTGATGAGCTTCTGGAAACCTTTATGAGCATTTTCAATCTTGGCGTATTCGCGAACATCTTCAGGAACTTCGATTTCAAATTTGTGGAACATGCTACGCTCGATTGGCGGGTTGTTGTTCTTCAAACGCAGACGATCGTTGCTTACGATTTCCGTGTAAGTCGTGTCCCAACCCACATATTCTAGCACGTAAAAGTCTCCCTTCATCATCTGAAAATACAACAATTATGCTCATAATTTTTTAATCGTGTTTGAACGAATTTTTGCAGATGGGGAATTAATAAATTAGAATTTTTGACCTTTTACGAACCCTCCCTCCCACAAACGCACAAAACGGACATCCCCTCCAAGTAAAATCAAAAATTCAAATTTTAAACATTATCTCGATACAATCCGCGCGAAAATTTGAATAAATATTTGTATAGGTCTTTGTAATGTGACGTCACAAATCGTCCGATCCCCATCCCCCCTATGACGTAATATGTTAACGGCCCATTAGTAACATTTCTTTAATATATTAAACATTAAATATGAAGTTTTGTCAAAGTTCAGTAAGACATTTTCAAAGGTAATTCTGTAGACTTAAACCTCATTTATCTTTTAGTACAATTGGACTTTACTAATTTTTATTTTAAGATTGCAATAATTCCTTAATGTGGATTGATATTCGAATAAAACATAATTATAAGTAGAATTATAGAAGTAAAAAAATATTTAAAAATAGATTAATTGGTTTTAAAATATGCTGTGGCTCCCGTCCCGAGGCGGGACTTAAGTTCAGTCCCGATTGACATCATAATTTTAAGATTTGTTATGTTACAATAAAACTAAAAAAACCAACCAACCCAACCCTACCCAACACTTTTTAACAAAGAAACAACAAATTTATAAAATAAAAAAAGTTTGACAACTTCTAGTAGAATCGAACCCATCTGATCCATTCAGCTTGACACCAATTAAAAAGCTCGGGGAATAAAAACGGATTTACAGTTTGTGACGTCAGTCGGGATCGAAGTTAAGTCCCGCCTCGGGACGGGAGCCGCATCGTTTAAAATATACATTTTATTCTTAAAGTTCATCACTAAATGTTATGAAAGCAAACATTGTATCTGCAATACATTATTTAACAAAAATGTTCTTTGTATTTGATGGTATATTTTTTCAGAAACAGTGCAGTCTCAATAGATGAATTGTGGTTAAAAATTTTAACTTAAAATTATAAAAAAATATATTTTAATTTTATTAAGTATTTAACTAAAATTAGTCTCATAGATGCCAAAATGACACAATAAAACTTATAACGCATATTCCATACATACAATCAAAGCAAGGCCATTATTTTGTGCCAAACATTTTAAGTGTTTTTCTGTGAAAAGAAATTAAATATGTCGGTTTCAATATCAAAATACAATGGTAATTTGTTCTGCATTTGGTCATGGTGACAAGCAGGGTTGGAAAAAAACCGTTTTTTTTATAAAACCCAACCCATTGGGTGGAATATAGATCGACAGGGGAACCCCCGAACTATAAAATTAAGTTTTGTTTGGTCTATGGTTTGATCGTTTCTTAGTTTTAGAGTGTACTGCTTTTGATTAAATACCAGTTTTTTACATACATAAAAATGTAATGTTTTATCTTTTAAAAATAAAAAATATACAAAAATATTGAAGAATTAAAGTTAAAAAACCCTGCGACCCAACCCAGTGGGTTTTTTTGGGTTACCCACTGGGCAGCCAAGAGCGCGTTCGAAAACTCGCAAGAGTGCACTCTGGATACACTCCAAGTTTACCTTGCGCGTTCAAATTCTCTGGTATATACCTAGATATATGCAACTGTCAGCTGTTCGAAAACAGCAAGTATATGCCCAGAGTGCACTCTCGGATGTCCAAGCTTTAGACTTGGTTAAGTTTTACCCATCATGCGCATAGAGTACATCAAACAATAATTTGTATTTACCTTCATATAATTTATTTATAACTTTTTAAAATTCAATAAAACAAAAACGAAAAACATTAAGATAAAAGAATTTATTATAATAAATTATTTAAAAAAATTCAATTCTAGAAAACAAAACAAAATCCATCACAAAAACTTGAATAATCCATATAACTAAAGGGTTGAAATTCAATAATTTAATATTTATATGTATTCAGTCAAATAACAAGCAAAACCAATTGATTTTAGAACACTACAGCATAAAGTTTTTAGGTATATGCTCCGCGGCGTTCGAAAATAACAAGGAGGTTAGGTATAATGTAAAGTCACGTGATTATATACCTATCCTTATACCATATCCAAAGTACACTCTCATTTCGAACGCAATGTTTTACATTTCCAACTGTCTCATTCATGTCCCATCTCTTCCCTACTCTAAGGATAGATCATTGTAAGTACTATGCTCCACACCCACATTGATATTTGAATACAAATTAAGACCTTTGTACACAAAAAATATAAGTACCTACCTATATTGTATTATTTTCAGATAAGATGAAATTATTGTTAAACTGACAGTATATAACCTAAATTATTTGTATTTAAATTACAAGGTGAGTCAAACCACGTCAAGTGGGACCAGAAAATTTCACGAAATCACCGATTTTGAAAATAATCACATTATTGTGTAGTAGGCATGACTCATATGTCACAGTAAAAAAATTGTTTTAAAATTCGTTTTTTTGGTAATGTTAAGGTTGACAATTTTGTCAAACTTTAGAGCACGGTAAAATTGAACAAATAGAATCTCTGGAACCACTATGTATAATTGAATTAAATTTTACACACTATTGTAGAAATGTTTAGACTATATAATTTGTTTAAATAAAATAATTTTGCATACATTTATTATAAACAATTGAAATTTTGTATGTGTTCTTCACGCTGAAAAAAAATTAATCTTGTGTCATAATATGCGGCAAACGTTTCCGTTTAATAAGATGTACTCAAAAATTTGTCTTTCCTATGTCATTCCGGAGATATTAATTTTTTTGTCCCGCTGTGCGCTTGATCAGTACGCGGCGCACTTCGTTTCTAGCTCGTCCGTTCTAACGTTTTAACGGTGTGCCTGAACGAAGTTTAAGTCACATAAAAATGCCGCCAAAAACTGATTGTAGTTTCTTGTTCGGGACCCTTTGGTGACTTAAAAATGATATTTACCAAAGTTCTAGCTGCTACTCTTTTCAAAATTGTTCGAAAATTCATATTTTTTTTTTAAATTTTTGTTTATCTCTTTGACAGAGTACACATTTGCACACCGATTTTTATAAAATTAGAGTAAATTATTTAGGAGACTTAGAGAATACTTTTTAATATTGTTCACATCATTTGATATATACAGGGTTAGCCAAAAATCACTTATTTTTAATAATGCAAAAGCGTAAATTCATGATTACTTATAGCATAACACGCGAAAAAAATTTATCCCCAATTTTTTTTTAGATATTTCTACGTCTATCAGGTTACAAAATTGCATTTTTATTAACATTTTACAAGAAAAATAGATTTGTAATAAAATTTAATAAAATAATGCTTAGAGAGTATTTAAAATGTTGTTTAATTTAGGCATTTTATAGTATAGTAGTTTTCAATTTTGAACGAAAAATTGGTTAAAGTTTTTTGATTGGCACTCTTTGGTGATTTAAAAAAGATATTTACCAAAATTCTAACTGTTTTTGGTTTAAATTTGTAAAAAATTCATTTTTTTAAATTATTTGTTTATCGCAAAGTCTACATTTGTACACCGATATTGTAAACGAGAGAAACTGTTTTTATACTGAGCACATCATTAGATTTATACAGGGTTAGACAAAAATCACTTTTTTATATAGTAAAACGCATAATGCATAAAAAAGATTTTTCAAAATGTTTCGAAAAGGGGAGCAGCTAGGATTTTGGTAAATATTATTTTTAAGTCACCAAAGAGTCCCGAACAAGAAACTGCGGAATTTTTATGCGACTTAAACTTCGTTCAGGCACACCGTGTCCTGAAGAGCTAGCAGCGAAGCGCGCCGCGTACTGATCAAGCGCACAGCGGAACAAAAAAATTAATATCTCCTGAATGACATATGAAGGACAAATTTTTGAGTACATTTTATTAAACGGAAACGTTTGCCGCATATTATGACACAAGATTAATTTTTTTCAGCGTGAAGAACACATACAAAATTTCAATTGTTTATAATAAATGTATGCAAAATTATTTTATTTAAACAAATTAACCTTAATTAAATGATCATTATATAGTCTAAACATTTCTGCAATAGTGTGTAAAATTTAATTCAATTATACATAGTGGTTCCAGAGATTCTATTTTTTCAATTTTACCGTGCTCTAAAGTTTGACAAAATTGTCAACCTTAATAACATTACCAAAAAAACGAATTTTAAAACAATTTTTTTACTGTGACATATGTATATGAGTCATGCCTACTACACAATAATGTGATTATTTTCAAAATCGGTGATTTCGTGAAATTTTCTGGTCCCACTTGACGTGGTTTGACTCAGGTGGGACTTTTAAACGTGGAGCATAGACATAATAAGAGTGAACCAGAACTTGAAAACCAACAAAGTATTTTAACAAAGAACAAAACAAACATATAATGAATTATTTTCGAAAAATAGGACGAAATTAGTCTAAATCTCCACAGTAAAATTATTAATTATTTGCTATATAAATTGTAAGGGGAACTACCAAAATTTCATTAACATCTGTTACACAAAAAGAGGACTTTTCTATAAAAAATAACGTCGGTGAAAGTGCAAATCATCGCATTTGCTTTTTTGTCAAAAATCCTATAAAATCCTATAAAATCCTAAAATTAGTTATTTTTTTGTGGTTTTTATATGTGTAATCAAGAACACTTAAAGATATTTAACTTTAAGCGCGAAATTCGGGGAGTGGAGGTGCGCATTTTGCTATTGCGCATCAGCTGACATCGCATCTTTCTGTGTCAAACCGCTTGACTCGAACGTTTAGGATCTAAAATTTAGGTTACCTATATACATTTGTTTTCTTGTGTTAGTTTGTGTAGAATTACTTTCAAAATGTTTGTGTATGAAAGATTGGAAAGGATGCTTCAATTAGATGAAGTTCAATACATACATTTTTCTTTAAGAAAAGGTATGTCAATATTTTTTTTGTGTAACTTGTATAATGAACAATTAATAATAAACATATAATAAAACCATTACCTTTGGAAGAGAGAAAAAGGCAACTCCTTTTTTAACAGCTGTTTGACTGTTTCTGCAGTTATTCACACCTGCACAGTTTGCATTATTTTTTAAGATATTATAGTTTTTACAATATTATAGTAAAACAACCATGTATTTTTTCACTGAATGTTTATTTACATTTTTGTCTCCTCAGAACAGCTGCCGACATGCTCAGCGATGTTGTGCACATTCCCCTAAGATTTCTACGCTTTTTCTACATCTGTTTGAAGCCTACTTGAATACAATGTTCTTTTGTGTAATATTTAGCAGTGAGAACACATCAAGTTTTTTTTTTAACTTAAATGTTTAGTAATTTTAAAAACACTTTTTGGAAAATTTGCGACGATTTTAGGACATATTATTGTTTTTCCTTGATAATATTAAATTAAATTGACAAACTTACCTTGATTCTTGATTTCCACCAGCCATAAGCCTCTGTAGTATTAGCTCTTGAATAAACTTCTACTTCCATGTTTTCTAGAAACTCTACCTTTGGATCAGGCTGTGGAGGAAGTTTAACTTGTGAGTAGGGAAACTTGGAATCTGGTTGCCACCTAGTGTCACAAAGATAAATATTCAAATACTAGTACCATAACTTTATGACAGAAAAATTTCCTTGCTTCATTTCCAATATACAGAGGGTGACATTAGTCTCAAACTTATCTACTGTTTATTAAAGTATGCAATTATAAACTAAAAATGACACTGTATACATATATTTTGTACAACATTTTACTAAAACCCTGCATCTAGAAACTAAGGAAGATACCTATAAGAATTTTTGCACAAATTTAATAAAATTTGTTATTACTTACTCATCTTCAAAATGAATAAGAACTTCATCATCATAGACGTCCAAAATAAAGCCCTGCAATAAGTAAAAGCAAATATTATACAGTTTTATTGGATATTTAAAACGAATGTAATTTGATACTTTTAGAACATAACCTTCTCCGTAAAATGTTACAGGGAAATTTTGAGTCAAGATTGCTCAAAAATTAATAAAACAAGTATAGAAGTGCTGTTAACGGCAAATAAATCGAATATTTAAGGACACATGCAAATTTCACGCCCTGTCAAATGGTCATGGCGTCAAAAGAACCGCGTTTGGCGAATCAGAAAATCTCAAAATTCTCGCAAAGTATATTAGAAACCGCCAAGACGTTGCGTTTAATTTGGAGCTCAAAATCGCGGCAACAATTTTACGGCAAAACCACAAGGAATAAGTTCATACTTAAAATAATACCGACCTTATAAAGGGCTCCATTTTCGCCGCATACTTCCACAGCTAGGTCCTCCATGTTGGTTTTATTCTTTGGCGAGGAAACAGCCTTTACCTGAGAACGAATAGCACTGCTGCCGCTTTGCTGACGCTAAAAAGAAAAACAAAGATGACAGATTCCTTTAAACCGATTGGTCGGCAAATCAGAAATTAAATATTTGACAGTTGTTGCCAGCGTTGCCAAATTATGTTTACGATCAAACCAAATTACAACAATATACTCTTCTTACAGATATGTAATACTTTTTTTGTAACTTTAAACCTTTTTGTTTGAGTTTTGAATAATGATTATGTTTTTACCATTTCTCTCAAACTAAAAATTGCAGTGCAACAGATCAAAACAATAGACCTGGCAGCACCGCCGGAAAATCAGAAAATTATTATTTGACAGATGTGGCGCTAGTTGTCTAGAATTATGTTTTGATAAAATTTTACATTATTTTTCCTTATAAATGTCTGGATTTGTCTCGCACAAATTCATGGCTGAAATGGTAAATAGATTGTTTTATAATGTCTACCAGTAGCGATTCCGAAGAATTTTATGACGCAGAAGATAACACTCCCAATCATGGATCAAGGTACAGATAATGATTATTATTAAACAGGTTTTTACTACATACCTCTAAAAAAATCCTCATAAATAGGTTTTCAGCTGAAATATTCTTTAATTTTTGGCTTTAAACTGGTTTTATTCTATTTGTTTACCTAAAACAATTGACAACACTTGTCAGATCTGTTGAAATTCATTATATCCATGCTCGAATCATTTTATAGTGAACTAAAATTTATTTTAGAAAATCTAGAAAAGCTTCCAAAGACAGCTTAACAAAAAGGTCTAACTCCGAACCTAATGTTTTTAATTTAGCTGATAAGGAAAAAGGTCAAGAAACAACAAAAAATAGCCCAGAAGATAATGAAGATAATAAATTTGTAAGTAATAAAGAGGTAGAGAAGATTATTTATTCAGTTAAAAACAAATTTGAGTTAAACACAAATACCTTTTTTTATAAAAGTGATTAGGTAGTTAATGATAAGTATGGATTTTAAAATTATAGGAGTATTTTATTTCTATTATTTATAGGTGGAACCCCAAACATTACCTTTGGCTGTTGGTAAGAAGAAGAAATTTAAAGAACTAAGACAAAAATTACAAAATGATGATGAAGATTATCAACCAAATGTTACCTCACCAAGCAGCCAAACATCATCTGTCGAAGGTGTTTTTGCAGCTTCTAGAACAAGTCATCCTTTTAGAGTCATAGAACAAGACACAATTAGCTTACAGAGTTTAAATTCTTTAGGGAGAGTAGGAAGAATTTTGGTTGGTAAGTAACCCAAATAAAGGATGGTTCAGAATACATAAGGAGGTGGCCATTTTAGATATAAAAGTTTAAATAAACATTTTTATGAGATGTAGGTCATAATTTGGATTCTAAATTAAGAACTTGATACAATTTTGTTTATTCCATTAATGAAGCCTAAAACCTGTAATATTGCTTTGTTTATTGAAAACCTTTTTTAGGAACAGCTCCAGAAGTAGGAAGAAAAGCCCTCTCAGTTTCTGCCCTATCGTCCAGTTCCCTAGACTCTGAATCAACTCAATCGAGCTCAAAACAATGCTCCCAATATCCAAGCACAATGATGCTATCAACAGGTACACCTGTGACAGACTATCGAATTGATGGTAAAGCATGTCTTCCTTTGCAAGAGCCTGACGTTATAGCAAGCACAAAAGTATCGGCAGCATTGAAAAAGAATGCTGCCAGCACCACCCCCACAAATGTAGATGTACCTGTTGCGCCACCTAGACGTAAAAAGAAAAACAAAGACACCCATCTGGCACTCACTGTAAGATGTTTTGTGTTTTACTTTTTTTATTATCATAGTCATATCATTTTGTGTTTAATGTTATCTCATAATATTATTAATGCTTTATTTGTTTATTAAAATAGCTGAGCAAGAATATATGTACTTTAAGTATATTAGTAGATATCAAAAATATTCAGTATGCAGTTTTACAAAAACATATGGGTTAAAATCATGGAGGTGAAGAATTTGAGTTGGAGGGAATTTTCTCAGTTAAAACTTAAGTTTTCTTCTCGTTTACCGATTATTATAATGGCTAGTCATGTCCACATGTAATCACTTTAATATGTTCTTAGTTGAATTCCATCCAACATACCCGAATAATTATTTCGGAAACGTTTCCATAATTTATTAAGGAAAATTAAAGTGACCAAGTAACATAGAAATAAATTAAATTTAAGCAACATCAATTTATTTATGACCTCAAAGAAAGTTATGGGAGATTCTACAAAATTTGGGCAACTTTTGACCTCATTTTGTTTATATAGTTTTCAGAGAAAATTAAACAGTATTTTGTTATGAGAACATAGATAATGTAATAAATATACTGTTCCAGACTGGGCCAGTCACTTTTTCAAACAGTTTCTGAAACATCTGTGTTTTCTAAATTTGAATGCAAGGGAAGTGACGAGTATACTAGGGTACTAATTAAATACATAATTTATTGAAAAATATAAGATTTATTGCAACTCTGAGCATATTATACATTAAATATCTTAAAATCAAATAATACTACACATCAGTGGCAGCTGGTGGATTTTGGGTATATCGATATCTCAATTATTAGATATGACCACACCAAATTTATATGAGTTTATAATGACATTAAATAAACAAGTTCTGCGCAAGCAGAATTTAAATTGAAGTTTGCTAAAAAAACATAACAGAAACATCGAACATGGAACTGACGACACGGTATGATGAATGGGATACAAATTTGAGATTATAATTCGGAATTAAGTATTTTACTGATATTTTTTATTAGTGGATGCTACTTATCAACAAATCACATATAGCCATATATAAATTACAATGAAATATATATATGTAAGAAAATAACTACTCACCACAGTACTGAAATTTTGACTGGCACTATACATGCATTCACCACAACTTCGCCGCTTGCATTGTTTTCAAGATGTAGGTAATTTTTTACCAACACTTCAATATTTCAATATTTTGCAGGAATTTTGAATTTTAACATTGGACACAGAACTGACAGGTAAAAGTGAGTACAAAGATTATCCATTTTTTAAAAATTGCTATTATTGGAATATATGATAAAATATGAAAAATACATTATTTAATGTTTTATAGTTTGTAGTGAAATTGAAAAATTTAAGATAAATTAAATATATTTTAAAATAAAATCACTCAAATATTTGATTCAGAAGTTGTGACACACCAAGGTACTGAAGTTTTGAATATTTATTATGTTTTTCTACAAACGTGCTTTTGAAAAAATAAATTTAAATTGGGTGGACAAGTTAAAAAAACCTGGATCTTTAGTAATATACTAAAATATTTACAAAAAATATTAAAATACCTACTTTATTGACTGATGACATCAAGTTGTCCAACTTTTTTAGCATCACCCTTATATAAACTGGTACCAAGGCCTATTAGCACAAAATACGAAAACCTAAAATTAGGTAACAATCTCAGTAACAATTTAATAAAATTTGTATGTAACAAAAAAGATAAATGGAAACAAGTTAATTGTAACATAGAAGTAATATGCCCTAAATGATCTGGAAAACACAAATATAATAAATGCAAATCAAATTTACTACCAATTTGTTTGACTTGCGGAACAGTAGAGCACGTTGCGTATTCAATCAAATGCCCAAATTGCCCCAAGAAACCTATAGAAGGTATTCCAAAAATTAAAATTCCTTCTTTAAACAAAACCACTTGTGAAATAGATTTTAAAAAACAACAAAAGACAATAGAATACATTCGGCAGTAACAATTCATGACTATATTATTAATACAGAAAACAAATAAACCAAAAATTACAAAAAAGCTTCATTGATTGTTTCAATTAACACTTTGCCAACATTTGTGGAAAATCGCCTTTACATTTATGTTTGATTTGAATGAAGAAATTGCTCTCCAACACAACCCAATGGTGGAATCCAAATTCGAATGAATTTAATTGTTGTTGACATGATCATGTCAACAACAATTAAATTCATTTATTCAAACATTAATGGCTACACTATGAAAAAACATTTAATCAACCACGAGATTAACCACTATGCTGAGCAAAATAATATCCAATGCAAAATATTTGTGGAAACAAAAACTAACAAAAGCCATTCTGTGCAATATAGAAGTTGGTCAAATATATATAAACAGGTTGACAATAGGTAAATCAAATCCCTCACATCTTAACAACCCATATAATGATATGTTTTACATTGTACTATTCCCTATGGAACCAATACATTACATATTTTCCTAGTTTACATGCACCACACCAGTAGACTTTAAGAGGACAATTTATATACAAAAGCATCTCAGTATAAAATGTAATCATCATTGGAGACTTTAATGTCAATAATAAAAAGAAAAGACAAATCCAAAACTTCATAACCAATTCCGATTTTATCCAAGTTCATACCTTGCCTACTTTTATAATGCCAAATAATAATGACATGCCTCGAGACATACTACTATGCAAAAACACATACATATGTATATTATATAATATTATTGCAGAAGGGTATTTCCATTGTAACGGGTGCGACATTGACACTGCGTTTTTTCAGGATAATAAGGTGTTTGTTCATATATATCAAGATACATTAAAATACAAAAATAGTATACAAAATTAGATATTTAACTCAAACAAAATGTCATTAAAAACTTGTATAGAAAACCTTTTATAACGTTATGAATCGCGTAACGGGCGCGACCTTAGAAAAGTGGCAAATGCGACCAATTTGGCTTCGAAAGTTGATACTGTAAAATTTTGGATGAAAGCATATAGTAATAATTTTTTGTGTAAAACTTGAATAGTAACCTTAAACAAGCACGTACTTTAAATGCCCAAATATTGTATACTTTATTTTCTAAAATTTTCTCAAAATGTAATGGGTGCGACATTTGAACACTTTATCGAGTAATAAAACTCTTCCGTGTTTATTCTTAATGTTAGCTTTTTAGCATCACAATGAGCGAATATTTTAAGGTTTTAAATTACGTCGCAATTAAACTATTTAAATTCAGATATAGTTTTTATTTTGTTAAATAACACATCTGATTTTTTGTCAAGGTGGGGTAAGGTTTCGCGGAAATACCCAGAAGTGGAATTAATACCAGATCTATGTTCCAACCACCTTGATCTAATAAAAAATCCACAAACAAATGCAGAAAACATAAAATATAATTTTAAGAAAAGTAATATACAATGCGACTCACTCCTGTAAAATCTTTATTTATTCTGCGATTTTAACCGGATTTGTTTTAAAGTGTAAAATTTGAATAATTTTGACTAAAATGTGCAAACTCACAATAATTAAATTAAAAAAATAATTAATTATTAATTATTTTTTTAATTAGAAATGGAAATTCTTTAAATATTTGTTATTACTATTTGTATTTAACTTTGGTAATCTTTTTTAATATTTTAACATACTCACGGAAAATTTCACCTTATTGTTAGATAGTACATAATATCATCCTGTATCATGATTTTTTCGCAACATAAATATGACACAATACATTTATATTTTTAGAAGTCCGCTTCTAGCGCCACATTTGACAATTGCAATTTAGATAGTCCCGCCAGTACGATAGAATCACTGACTAGAGAGTTCGAGAACTCATTGGACTGCACACCTCCGATAAAACCGACGAAATCTGGCAAGAGCTCGCAAAGTTCCACATTAAAATCGGTCCATTCCCTAGATATTACCGAAGCGACGAAGGGACAGTTCGTCGTTAAGCCGCATGACAGCGACAGCCTTAAGGCGCAGGGCGGCAGCCGGTGCGCAGACACTGTCGAAGGGTTGTGCGCAACTTCTAAGGAGACCGATTCAAGTAACAATACTCCTAGAGGATCGTCAAATAGGAGTAGCGTCGGACATTACAGTTTAGGACCTCATAGGTAAATAATACTAGAATTTATTAAGACAATGAAAGAGATTGGACGCTTATCAGGTAGTTGGAAATGCTAGAAAGTCAACAGTTTCATGTAGAATTTATTTATGAATGCTATCATTTTGAATAAAAGACCGCATATATGTTTATTTAAAAACTGATTTAACAGATACTGATTAAAATAAATAGATTTATTAGTAATGGTTATAATAAATTATTACCATGGAATGCAAATTTTGGGTTTACATTAATAATATAGATTTTTATCTCTCAACGTCTGAGTGTCATGTCACTATAACTTATATAACTTTTACAACCAAATGCAGAACAAACCACCTTGTACTTTAATGTTGAAACCTACAATTTTAATTCCCTTTTAAGCAAAAATACACAAAACAAACTTGTAAATTTGACACTGACAGTATGGCTCATACATGGCATGCTGACATTCACAGCAATGGGCATTACATGCAAATTCTTTTAATATATCCATGATAATTTATATATTTTTTCTAAATGACAATGGAAAACATTTTTTACTCCCATTTACACATTACATTACAAATACATATGTTTCCATGACGCTAGGTGATATTTTTTCATTACGTTTTTGATATTTTTACTATTGTTAAGTTCCAAGACAAGCGCAAGTTTTATTTGACCTTATTAAAATTGCGCTTACTTAAAAAACACCCATTTCAAAAAATTCTAGGGGAAAATCGAACCTTCCATAAATCTCGTGACGCTGGAGGGGGAAGGCGGATTGAACTATGTCACGCTCAAGTAAATAAAAAAAAATTGCCTATTTGTTTCATTTTATTATAAAAAAGAATAGGAAAATTATTTTTCTTTTTGTATACCTACCATAATAAGCACAGTGCAATACGCATTTGTGTCTCCATGGCGACAGTGCGATACATGGCAACAGTACGATATGCAAATATAATTTATAATTCGAATGTTTTTAAAAATTTTGACAAATAGAAAAAATAGTATAAAGAACTTGGGTCATATGACATTTTCTCGCACTTATCCATTACAAAATTGTACGAAAAAATGGCGTTTATGGCTTTAGTTCTTTATTATACTATTTTATGGGATAGGGGAGTTTGATATGTCACATGACCCCTCAAGGACGTTTTACATTTAAAATGTTGTTTATAAAACATATTATAGAAAAGTTGTGTTATCCTAATTTTTTACGCATTAACATTTTTGGTAAATGTTTGTAAATATTAAAAAAATACTTACTGTTAAAAAATAACGCTTAGCTAATTTAACATCCTTGCAGTATTAAACTCGGACTCCAATTAAAGTGGCAAGTGGATAAAGGGGTGGAGTAATAATTTTAATAATAAAGAATAAAAAAAAAAGTATTATAAATCAAAAATAAATTTGTTATTGTAATTACCATAACCTTTATTATTAAAAATGTTACTTAACCCCTTTATTCACTTGCCCTTTTAAATAAGTGTCATTTATAAAAAACAAATAGTAATTTTATCAGAATATTCCTTAAAAAGCGTTGTATCTAAAAGGATTATTTTTAAATAGTGTACTGTCGTGATTTAAATATATTTTTAACGCTGTGGCTCCCGTCCCGAGGCGGGACTTAAGTTCAGTCCCGATTGACGTCATAATTTTAAGATTTGTTATAATAAAATAATAATAATAATAATAAATTGTACCTGTATACATGTTAAGGGCACGTTAGTTACGTCATAAAACCAAACCAACCCAAACTCAACAACACAACCCAACCGACCCCGCCCCATTGGGCCCCCCCCGCCCCATTGAGCAAAAAATCCAACTAAAATGGGCAAATTTATGTTACGATAAAAATAAAACACTTTTTAACAAAGAAACAACAAATTTATAAAATAAAATAAATAAAAAAAGTTTGACAACTTCTAGTAGAATCGAACCCGGTACCTCTCGCATGACAAGCGACCGCCCTACCATCTAAGCCATCCAGCTTGACACCAATTATATATAAAAAAGCTCCGGGAATAAAAACGGATTTACAGTGTGTGACATCTGTCGGGATCGAAGTTAAGTCCCGCCTCGGGACGAGAGCCACATCGTATTTTTAATAATAATAATAATAAAATAAACTTTATTGGATTACTCCAAAAGGCTAACGACCTTAGTCTTTCTGCCTATTTACAATAAATATTCATTTACAACACATTTATAGTATTAAAATATTCTAATATTTGTTACAAAAAAAAAGGTATTTCAAAAACAAATCAGTGTAAGCTATTCTTTCGCCCATAGCTTCAGTGTGTCATACAGTGGCCTATCAGGGTATTTTCTCTTTTGGGTGTTCTCAGGATTTGTTTGGTATATCAAAGGTTCCATCACAGTGAAGTTATGATCTTTATTTGCAAATTTTTGTGCAAGGTATACCAGTCTTGTTTGGATGGGTTGGACTTTAGTGATGCGGTAAAGGGATTCATTGGATGGGTTAAATAAAGGGTTTTGGGGGTGTCGGATTTTTGTAATTTTCCTCAGACTTGTACGTTCTCCTATCTCGATGTTTGAGAGGGTCGGTTTTCTGCAATTTTGAAAGAGTGCAGATCCATATTCCAACACTGGCTGACAGATTAGTTTATAAATGGATGCAGCCGTTTTAATATTTATGCCCTGGTCTTTATATGTAAGCCTTCTAAATTGTTTTGCCCTATTTACAATACTTGTTTTGGTCTTGCTAGTATGTTGTTTGAAGCTTAGCTTGGTGTCTATTGTAATTCCCAGGTAACGACATGATGTTGATGACTCTACTGTACTTTGCATGATGTTGATAGTGGGTGAATTCGCTTTAATTTTGTGGTGAAACAGTAAAAGGTGCGATTTTGATGGGCTAGGCAGAATTCTCCATCCATGCTGATACCTGGTCAGTTAGTTCCTGTAGTTTAACACTTGCTTCTGTTGTCGTTTTGCCATGGGTTATTAGAACTGTATTAGCTCTGGCCGTTTATGTACAGGGGATTGGGGTTGTACATGTCATAACAATATAAGTTAAATAAAATTGGTGACAACGGTGATCCTTGCGGTACTCCTTGTTCTGGTGAGAAGGACGAGGATAATTTGTTGCCAATTTTAACTTGTAATTTTCTTTGTGTGAGAAATTCCTTTATCAACCATACCAGATATTCCGGACATTCCAATGTTACCAGTTTTTTCAGCAACCCATAGTGCCATACAGAATCAAAGGCTTTACATATATCCATAAAAAGTGCTGCCGATTTATTTCCTTCTTTGCTTTTAGATTGTACATTTGATGTTAGTATAATTAGTGGGTGTATTGTTGAGGTTTGCTTTTTAAATCCGAATTGGTATAAAGGGATTTTGTGTCCAATGGTCTGTTCTAAGCGATTTTTAATTATTGTTTCGAAAGTCCTTCCAATTACGGGCAATAAAGTGATGGGCCGGTAGTTTGCAGGGTTAGCGTGATCCACGTTAGGTTTGGGGATGGTAATAATTAATCCTTTTTTCCATTCACTCGGAAAGTAGTTATTAAGCAGACAAAAGTTAAAAATGTTGATTATTTTATCATGAATTTCCTGGTCCAATTGTTTTAGCACCATTCTGGGAATGTTATCGTGGCCTGGTGCTGTATTTTTGCCGTTTAAACAATCAAAATATTCATCCTCTGTAACATTAGGTATATCTTTATTTAGGTTTCTTTGAGCAAAGTATTCTCCCACCCAATTGATGATCTCATTTTTATTGTTTTCGCTAAATAATGCATTTTCTGTAAACTTGTAAGTTTTTTCAAATTGTCTAGCAAAGGCATCTGCCATGTCTTGCTCTGTTTGTAGAATGTTGTTGTTTTCTTTTATATAGTGAAAATGATTGTTTGTTTTATATTTGGAAAGTTTCTTTATTTCGCACCAGTATGACTTACCCTTTGATAAATTAATTTTTCGACAAGCTTCTAGGTATTTTGATGAACGATATTGTAAAATTAGTGTATGTATATCCTTATTTAGTTAATTGTATTTTCTTTTAATTTTAATTGTTTTTTATCTCTCTGTAGAGTTGTTTTTTAATTTTAATTAGTTTTATAATGAAGGGTGGCAATGTATGTACAAAAAAGCTTGTTTTTAATATAGGGGTGTGTTTCAGTATAATGCTTGTAATATTTTCCAGGAGGGAGTTGATTGTTTGGGGAGAGATAGACTCATTGGGAATTATTGACTGGAGAATTTCATAGTTTATGGCTTCTATATTGCTTTTCTTAAAATTATATTTTATGTTTTCTGCATATGTTTGTGGATTTTTTAATAGATCAAGGTGAAATTGGATCGCCAGGTGGTCGGAACATAGATCTGGTATTAATTCCACTTCTGTAATATTATTACGTATGTTTTTTGTACATAGTAGTATGTCTGGAGTCGTGTCATTATTGTTTGGCATTATAAAAGTTGGCGGGGTATGAACTTGGATAAAATCAGAATTGGTTATATATATTATATATATTTTTATTTCTCAATGTTTTTCAAAAATGAAGGAATAATCAAATTATTTTTAGAATCGAATACTGTGCATTTAAATACTTTTGAGAATCGAAGGATTTGAATGCCAAGAATCAAATAATTTAATTGCTTATGCGTATTTCTACACGAAATTTTCAATTATCCGAAATGCAATAAATTAACCTGAGCACAATCAATGTGTGGATTGTGAACCTGAGCAGATTCTTGCTATACTTAGTGTTTGTTTACATTAAAGATATTATAAACATATAATTCTTAAGAATTAATTTATACCATTTTTGTTTATAAATATTTTTATGTTTTAAAATAATAAACAACTCTATTTTTATGCATTATAAATGAAAAAAATTAGTTACTTTTCTGTAACATTATCCATTAGATAGCTTTATTAAAGCAGTGTTAATCAATTATTTAAAGTTAAAAGAAACCGGTTTCTAAAAAATCATTTGTTTGAAATTTTTATTAAAAAACCGACGATAAGAATTGTAGTACTCGAATCCTTTAATAAGAATATAATGCATTCAAATACTCATGAGAATTGAATACCTTTAAAATTTGCATTCAAATAGTTCCATTACTAGTTTAAAATATTAAGTAACACTTATGGTGGTTACACAGCTAACGGAAAATTATAGAAGTGTATAGGATGACGCCACGTTTGAATATCGTTTTCTAAATCTCCCCACGGTATAGAGTTGTATTCGTCAGTCGAGCGTTTCAATACTCTCCACAGTATAGAGGTCGTAATTTCACTTTTGAACTAGTATTAATATAAAAATTATTTTATGCTTAAATAAAACTATATACGACATGATTGTGATTTTTTTCATTTTATTAATTAATTAAGCTGTGTTGAATATTTTTCTAAAGGAATAATTGCCAATGGGCCATTAATTCATTTGTTCGTAGATGCTACAATAACCTGCACTGGTGGAGATAGTGCAGGGTCTACCGACAGACCTCATTACTAAATTATTAAAGTTTAATAGCATATATGCATATTGATCATTTTTTCAACATAACCTCTGAAATTTTTAATACAAATATAGGTACTTTATATAATACATAAATATACTTAACATCATATCCTCTGTGCTTTACATACCTGAGTTGTTACGGTAAATAAAAATCAGACAAAGGAACCAAAGAAAGGAACTATTTTCAACAAAATCATATGCACAAATGAGAAAATTCAAACTACTTGCATCCATCAAAAGATCAAAACTTCTTGCAATATTACACCCTCTTTTTATACTCTCAGAAATATTGACTAGAACAGTATTAGAGAGACTCCAGTTTCTATAACTTGGTAGAGTAAAGAGAAGTCGAAAAGCTTGAGTTTCTATGTCTCTGAGGAGAATAGGAATCCGAAGTTGCTGCACCATTGGACTGAACCCTTTTTTAATAATTTCTAGAGACATAAATGACTGCACCATTCGACAGGGTCGAGTTTCTACCTCTCTGTTGAATATAGAAAATCAAAATAATGTATCTTGTAAGACACCATTGAGTTTGACTTTAAATATAGCTCTTTTTTTAAAATTGATAGATTTTATTTTTGCATTCTTTCCATTTTATGATAAATGCTATGAAATATAATATTTAATAGATGAAATATAATATATTATATTTTATTAAAAAGATTATTTGTAGTCTTAAATACGTAAAAAACGTTATAATGATTAAATATTGAAAAAAAAATATTTAAACTATAGTAATATATGGGGCAAAATTTGCCAAGTGTACCAGGTGAAAAAAATTTTGTCACCGATTTTGTTTAAACTTTACTTATTTGTTGTTCTTATAACGAAGAATCATAGCATAAAATTTTTTTGCTCTAGGATTTTTCATTCAAGAGTTATGGATTATTGAAATTTATCGATTTTTTACTTTTTGGTGAAATCGCTTTTTATTTAAAAATTCATAACTTCTGTTCATCTCTTTATTAAATATTTCAAATTTAACCACCTTAAATGATTTTTTCCATACTTTTCAATATTTACACTGCCGCACGATATAGTTTTTTTATTGTGTATTAGTCCTTCGGAGGGGACTTTAGGCCCGCGGTCCGTTCCTACCCCTAACCCGCACAAGCCATTCAGTTGGCTTATAGGACTTCTTAAGAAGTAAGGGTGAAACTAATAAAAGAGCACTTTTGTATATAAACTGTATTTTTTGCACAAATTGTTCAAGCATGGGTCTACATAGATTTCGCAAGGAGGGTCGATGATATTAAATAAAAAATTTATTGTTATAACCGTAACGGCTTGCCTATAAGCTGAATAGGCGCCATTCAGCTTATAGGCAAGCCGTTACGGTTATAACAATAAATTTTTTATTTAATATCATCGATCCTCCTTGCGAAATCTATGTAGACCCATGCTTAAACAATTTGTGCAAAAAAATACAGTTAAAAAACTATATCGTGCGACAGTGTAAATATTTAAAATACATCATTGACTACTCAAACATAATTTTACATTTTAAATTATCATTTTGTATTCGTTTACTCGCATCTACTAGGTATAAACGCATACGGCAGTGTAGTAGCTATTCGATGGCTAGACCGTGCGGCATTCAAATATGAAAAACTTCCCTTCTACATGTCGGGCCCACTCTAATTTTTTTTTTTATTCAAAGGTAACATAATAAACTTCGATTATATGCTATTTTTAAAAAAATTAAAAAATACACATTGTTTCAAAAAATGCAAAATTTTGCAAAATTTCAAAAAAAAATTGCAAATTTTTTTTGTTGCAAAAACGGTATAGCCCATTAAAAAGTACGGAAAAAATCATTTAAGAAGGTTAAATTGAAATATTTAATAAAGAGATGAACAGAAGTTATGAATTTTTAAATAAAAAGCGATTTCACCAAAAAGTAAAAAATCGATAAATTTCAATAATCCATAACTCTTGAATGAACAATCCTAGAGCAAAAAAATTTATGCTATGATTCTTCGTTATAAGAACAACAAATAAGTAAAGTTTAAACAAAATCGCTGACAAATTTTTTTTCGCCTGGTACACTTGGCAAATTTTGCCCCATATAGTAATATTTGATTAGAATTTTAAATCGAGTATTTGAACTATTTAAATAGTTAAAATTATTTAAATGGTTTTTGTTCCAATAATTTAAATTATTTGAATAGTTTTAATAGTTTAAATGGTTCAAATATTAGAAATTTTAAGTTAAACTATGATCATAATTAAAAATTAAAAAAAAATGGTTTTGTCAAATTATCTTATATAATAATTGATGCCCCTAAAAAATGGAATTCAGGAATAGATACATTTCACTTAATAGCCAAGAAATATAACTAAATTCTAAGCTAATAATGCTTAAAAAACAGTGTCATAAAACAACAAACAATTTTAACAAAACAAATTAACTTGTACTTACCCCTTTGCTTCTAGGGGCCTCAATTATTATTAAAAATTAAAATTTTCTAATATTTAAATAACCGAACCATTCGAATAGTAACGATTTGAATTTTTAATCGGATTATTCGATTCGATTCGTCTATAATAATTATAATTAAAGTCTAATATTCACACAACCCTAGTTTAAACACATTTTAATTTAATCCGCCAGTCGACTTATTTATTAATAATATATTATTATTTATGGCTCAAGCCATTTCTCCGAGAATTTCTCATACCTAAATTAAGTGAAGTATCGCCATTGCATGGAAAAAAAGTTTCAAAAACTACCACAGTGTTATTTTTATAAATTCATTTTAGGGGTACACATCAACATTTAAGACCTACGTGCAAAGAACGCCGGAGATCAGCCGGCGACGAAAACTTCCTCAAAGGCCTCAATCTGCACGTGCGCACCCATACAGACTCTGGCAAACAATTGTCAGACTTGGAGATTCTAGAACAGGTGACCGTTTTAAATTTGGACACTGGCGAGCGGATACCTTTGAGCGTGGCCGAGGACAAACTTCCGCAATGCATCAACCCATTGTCGCTTCACATAATGCGACTGACTTCCGAGTATGTGAGCAGCTCCAGCATGGAAAAAGAAAACGAATCGGACGAGGAGAGCATCTGCGATTTGAGTAAAAAGTTGGAGATACCTATTGTAGATGGCGCCGATATCGACGTTGGGAGAGTTAGGAAAAGAACGGCGAAATTAAAAAGGTTTTTGGGTTCCACCGTCAAGAAAACCATGCACAAAGCCAAGAGTATCGCGCAAGAAGTATCACATGCAAGGCATAAGGAGGACGTGATTGATATTGTCGATCACGTTCACCCTGGAGAGCAAAATTGCAAGTTAAAGGCGTCGAATTCCCACAAGGGACCGTATGAGTTTGAGAAAATGGAGCATGTGCAGGAACTTAAAGACAATCAACATGAAGGGCCGATATGGTGCATGAAGTTTTCCTCGTGTGGCAGACTTTTAGCAACTGCTGGACAGGATAAAGTGTTACGTATATGGATTGTGAAGGACGCATATCCATTCTTCCAGGTAAAAAACACAGGGTGACAAATAAAATATAATTGTTAAAAGGGTCGAAAAAAGTTTTTAGCATGATAGGTTTTGGTACTTTTCATATAAGAAAAGTTATTTGTCCACAATCATTTAAATTAACAATTAATTAATTACACAGCCCCACAAAAAAACGATGTTCTGGCCTGGGGATCAGACCATGTTTACGATATGTTTTTGGGGTCGCTGAAGCCGAATCCAGAACCCGTTTAACCCCATCACGTCAGGTTTTCAAGATAACCTCAAATAACCTAATAAGCCTTTTTTAACCAAAAACCTTATAACCGAAGCTTTTTATTCACAATAACTTTATTACTTTTTATATTTAAATCCATAACCCTACCCTACCCCAATAACCCAATAATCCGAATCCCAATAACCACTCAAGCAACTGAACTCAACCTATTATCACGCAATCTGTCATAGCCAAATAATCCCGTAACCGAAGCTCTTAATCCACAATAACCCTATGATCTGGTACATTGAACCCCATAACCCACCCCAAATAACCCTATAATCTGAACCTCAATATAACTTAATCCATCGCATAAAACCCAATTAGTTAAACACTAACATTGCGATGGATTAAGTTATGTTGAGGTTCAGATTATAAGGTTATTGGGGGTGGGTTATGGGGATATGGGGTTCAATATATCAGATCATAAGGTTATTGTGGATTAACAGCTTTGGTTACGGGATTATTGGTTTGGGCAGATTGCGTGATAATAGGTTGAGTTCAATTGCTTGAGTTATGTGATTATTGGGATTCGGATTATGGGGTTATTGGGGTATGGGTTTATGGGCTTCAATATAAAAGTTTATGAAGTTATTGTTTATGAACAGATTGGGTTATAAGGTTTTTGGTTTTATAAAGGCCTATTAGCTTGGATTATTAGGTTATTTGAGGTTATCTTGAAAACCTGACGTGATGGGGTTAAACGGGCTTCGGATTCGGCTTCAGCGACCCCAAAAACTTATGGTAAACATGGTCTAATCCCCAGGACAGAGCATCGTTTTTTTGTGGGGCTGTGTTATTAATGCTTTGAAATACAGTTGTGTGTCATTATACTCATGAAGGATGTGTAAAGATCTGGGCTGGTACAAGTTTATTGTGGGGAATATCAAAATTTTGTAATTTTTTTTTAATATTTAAAGTCTACTTAAATAAAAAAGTAAAAAAAATAATAAAAAAGTTGGAATAAGAAATCAAAATTTGATTCATTATTTTTAAATAATTATAAAAAACCTTGGTGTAACATTTTTAATCTTAAAACAGCACTATCAAAAACCTCCGTATAAAAGAATTTGTTAGATTTTTCCAATTTATGTGGAAGGTATTCAAAAAATGAAGTAATAACTTTTGACACCCTATATCTCAGTAAGGAACCAATTTAGGACCGAAGTGCAGGGCCATAGCATAGATGTTTACACATCAATAATAGTATATTATATTTTTTTTTTTTTTTTGTATATGTATCAAGTTTTATAAACGCCATTTTAGTTATGAGTTTTATTGGACACGAGCGAAGCTTGCGAGCAAGTGTTTATTAAAAATGATGTCATACTACTATAGCATACTATGGCTGAAATAAGCATTTTGGGCATTTTAGTCACGGGATCAGGTTAGCTTTATTACAGATTGCAAAAAAGTGAGGTTAATGTCGTCAGATGTCAAATATTTATGAATTAAAATTGGCTTTAAATTCTTATTTCTGTTCGTCGTAGATAAAGTGTAGTATGCAACTCGTTTTTATTAAACACGGAAGCTTCGCTCGTGCCTAATAAAACTCGTAACTAAAATGGCGTTTATAAAACTTGATACATAATATACTATTAAACACGGTTAAACCATTTACTAATAATATAATTTACTGCTGATTAGGTACTAAACTAATCATTGTAAACATTAATTTTTGCTAGCTAAAAGTACACTTTTCCATAAATGTTGTTTGTAGGACATGAGAACAAAATATAACGCGAAAAAAGTATCCCCCACTCCATCGCAAGAATCCTTGGTGTCCCATCACTCGCAGCAGGAGATTAGCTCCTGCAGCATGCCGATTCTCGAGGAGATGTCATCAGAAGAGGCGAGCAAATTGACATTCATGCCGAAACCTTTCTGCACCTATTCGGGTCACACTTCCGATTTGTTGGACGTTTCGTGGTCGAAAAATTATTTCATCCTTTCGTCGTCGATGGACAAGACTGTAAGGCTGTGGCATATTTCCCGCAAAGAGTGCCTCTGCTGTTTTCAGCACATTGATTTTGTTACTGCTATTGTTTTTCACCCCATTGACGATAGGTACTTCCTCAGCGGGTCCTTGGATGGCAAATTGCGACTATGGAACATACCAGACAAAAAAGTAAGTGAATTTGTTTACATTGATTTTAATGCATGAAAATACTGATTAAGGGAGGTTTGAAAAAAGATCCTTAAGCCTGATTCATATTATCAGGCAAAAAACGGCACTACACGGACCGGAAAAGACACGACAAAACATTATTTAATAAAATTTAAATAAGATTAGATTGGATTATCTAATAGACATATTTACATATACAGGCAACGAGGAGACAATGACACGACAACCGACCATTCTCTAAGCTGGTAGGTGACTGTAGTTACTTAATATTTTTTTCTAAATGTCGTGTCTTTGCCTGTAGGTGTGGATGTCAAATCAGGCTTTAAAGTTAAAAATATGTTTTAAAAAGTTTAAACACGTGTGTCTTTGTTTTTTAAAGAGTTACAGTTTTAAAAATAATCAGTTACAAAACTGACATATACAACAATAAGTTGAAGTGAATCAAGTTTTTATTTTTATATTTTTTCCTTTTTAGCTTATTTAGATGATACATTTATTTTTATAAAGCTAACAAAATAACATGAAGTACGTTAATGAAACCAAAATTAAAACAATATCAAAGGAAACTTTTGTTGCATACAGATAACTCAAAAACTAACAAAAGATTAGTGGTATTCATGATTTATTTAAAAAAAACTAACCAAGTGAAACCCCTTAACAACACCCCTGGTAAAGCTGACTTAAATTCCTAAATACATATGTATTTAAAAAAAACTATTATTATATTTTAAAAAGTTAACCAAAAAACCCAACTCCGACCATAGTGGCGCTTACGCCCTTCTGATATGACGCCCTCGATATTTTTATAATAAAAACTTTGTATATTATTTTTGTATGTATATACAAGGTGTTATGTTATTAATGTAATATATTTAAATGGGTAGTTCCTTAGGGTCCATAAAGAAGCACCATAAACTTTTTTAGACTAAAAATAATTTAAAATAACCTTAATCCTACCAAAAAGTAAGCCACCGATCGACTAGGAACTTTAGGGTAATCTGGTTGACTAATTTAATTTATTATGTTATGGATTCCAGATTCTGTCAAAAAAAGTTGCCAGACTTGTCCCAATTTCATCTGAGTAAACAGAAAGAAAAAAAACGAAGAAAAAATATATTTTGTTCTTATGGAGTTTTTAAAATAGGTACTAAATTTTCTAATCATTGCTTAAGCAAATAGCTGGATAAATAAATAAATAACTTCTAAAGCTGGATTTATAGTTGGACGTAGACGTAACATAGACGCACTGCAAAAATATCAAATATGGAGTTTATGTACTCTTATTTATAAATGAACGTAAACGCAGACTTAACGGAAACGTAACGGAAGAGTTGGTCTTATCTTATCTTTTCCGTTCCGTTTCTTGCGTCCGGTCCAATCCATTACATCCAATCCAATTTACAGTCCGTTTTTTACGTATCCAGTGCGTCTACGTTACGTCTGCGTCCTACTATAAATCCAGCTTAATGCATATTTTTTCTTTATCTTTGGGAAAATATTTTTTTAAATATTTTTCCGTTACACCTTATGTCAAAAGGTATTCAGTATTTTAATATATTACATTAATTACATAACACCCTGTATACAAAATGGGACATGGTAAGGTACCAAAATATCTTTGTAATAATTTAAAATATGTTGATTCTATACACAATTATCAAACAAGAACTAAAAATGATTCTTATATAAAAACTGGTAGAACTGTAAAAATATATGAACAATGTATTATGTTTAATAATTTACCAAACGAGACTAAAAACTGATAATTATAAACATTTTAAGAAACTTGTTTTATTATACAGTGTGTATAATAGAATAAGTAAAGCCGTAGACAATAATAGCGAATCAAAAAGAAAAAGGCAAGCAAAGCAGGCGTGGCCTAAGTGCAGGAGAGATAATTAAATGTGGCTATAGTCAGGGATGGGCATGATTTAGAACATTTTGGATCTAAATCTCTAAATCCGATCCGATTCTGATTTATGATTTAGGATTTAGTTACATTTTGGTACAAGATTTACGATTTAGGATCTAAATCATTTCTTTATTTCAGATTTAAATCCAAAAATTAAATTTAAGTTTGATTTACTTAATTAATGTTCGTTTTTGAAAATTTTAAATGCACCAATCAAAATATATCAAATTATGTCAACTGCGCAAAGATATTTGCGCAGTTGACATGCTTTGATATATTTGATTGGTGCATTTAAAATTTTCTAGCGAGAGTCAGAGTCCGAGTCTCTGGTTCTGTGTTCAGTCACTGAACTTTAGTGGCGCAGTTGTCAACTGCCAGTTGACATAATTTGTGTTTTGAGCATTTTTTGAATATACTGTGTTTCTGTAGTAGTTGCGCTCCTGCGATTTTTGTTATGAAAAGTTTCGATAGCAATTTTCTTTCCGCTGAAACCGTTACCAAGATTTTGTTACTCGTTTAGGTACTAATGAGTATCGTTTCTCAAAGTTTCGATATCATTTTTGATGGAACATGTTTTAATACAGTTTCGTTTCGATCCTTAAAAGAAACCCTGGTCTTAAGCAACCTGAATCGATAAAATTACGTAAATTGCTTCAGCTGAGGGACAATAGGTTCCTTTTCCCTTTTCGCATCACATATTGTTTTATATAATGTCATGTCTAGAAAAAAAACAATTTAACTCAAATTTTAAAATGTAGGTATTTCATATCAAAATATGATATTCGGGCCTGGTTGTACAATTCAAGTTCAGTTGCAGTTTAACTTTAATCAAGGTTCAGTTGCTTCGTTACAATTGTTATAAAAATAGTTTAAGCTTAGTTTAAATGTAAGTGAAAGCTAAACTCTAATTGTAGAACTGGTCCTAAATATTAGTAAAAGTAATTTTGAATACAAATTATAAGCCAAATAGTTTTTTTAGATTTTCTTATTTAATAATATATATTAGGGTGCTTCGTTTGAAACGACTATTTTTTGTCTCACTCCATTGACGAAATATTGTTCTAAACATAGAAAAAAAATTCCCACCAAAGAAGAGCTCTTAATTTTAATTTTAAGTAGGTACTCTCTAAATGAATTTAAAGTTTTCCCATTTAATTAACCCCTAAACAATTTTTTTTTGCTTAAATTATCTATAGCATAGCGAAGTTGGAGAGGGATCATTCCTCTTTAAAAGCTCTTACAGCTAATTTCCAACTTTTGAATTATATTGATTTTTGCTCAAAAATCGTGGTTTTTCGACTTTTTCTCCTAAACTATTGTCTTGACACCAAAATTGTAAAGGACCTTTTTTGTAGAGAACCCCCAGAATAAATTCTTTCTGAGATAAATTTCGAAAAACCAAGAGCAAAAATCAACTACACAATTTTTTACTGGCAATATAATTCAAAAGTTGGAAATTAGCCGTAAGAGCTTTGAAAGAGGAAAGATCCCTCTCCAACTTCCACCCATGTTCAAATGAATGCCATGAAATGTCGCTATGCTATAGATAATTTAAGCAAAAAAAATATGTTTTCTACTCCCACCTTTAAAACGCCCTTTATCGTACATGTTTCCATGACACTAAGTGACCTTTTAAATACACATTGATAAGTTGTGGCTTTATGGCGCTTTAGTCACGGGCTGAAGTTAGCAACAGGTTTTTAGTCACGGGCTGAAGTTAGTTTTAAGTTAGTTGACAGTTGTCAAATGTCATACAATCGTTAAAATTAAGTGCCTTTCTTGTAAAATAATACTAAATGTGAAAATTATTTTATTATCTCAATACAAAAATACAAAAGTATTAAATAGTTTCTCAACGCCAATATTTGAAAAGTTTATATGAACATTGTACTGACCTTTTAATTTCGCCTGCAGTAAACTATATATTAATAATAATAATAATAATAATAATAATAAAATTTATTTCCAAAATAATTGTATAATACAGAGCACAACAACTAGGAAGAAATATTGTCAAGAGTTACAGATTAATATCGTATATTATACTGCAGATAATCTGCCAAAGTATAGGGTTCCATATCAATTAAATATTCCATGGCAAGGCTCTTAAAACTAGACAGTTTGGACACCGATTGGATATAACTAGGCAATTTATTATACATAACAATACACGCATAGAAACAGCCTTTTTCAAAAATGGTTAAACGATGCCTCGGGTATTTTAAAGCTCGAGTACGTTCAGAGTTCAATCTTAAATCTATAAACAGATGCATATTCTTACATACAAACATCAGAATTTCAAACACATACAACGCTGTCACCGTAAGTATTTTATGTTTCCTAAACTGCCCTCTTAATGATTCTCCATATTTAAAACCTAACATAGTTCTTAAACAATTCTTTTGAGCCACAAAGATGGCTTGAATATCCTTACATTGGCCCCAAAAGATAATTCCAAACCTTAGCACAGATTGGAAATAGGCAAAATACACTGTTTTTATTACGTTAAAATCAAGATTTCTCTTAAGCACTCTGATGCAATGGTGTACAGTATTAAGTTTTTTGTTCAGCTCTTGAATATGTTTGCACCAGTCTAAGTTTTCATCAATATATAAGCCTAGAAATTTGGTATTCGCGGAAATATTTAATACATGGTTGTTTAAGTTGACATTTACAGGCGTTATAATACTGGACATTTTAGTTTTAAATAAAATACAATTTGTTTTTTGTTCATTTAAAATAAGGCGGTTTTTAGTGAACCAATCCCTAGCCTGTCGGATAAACCTATTGCTTTCAGATGTGACACTATTTACATTTTTTGATGCTACTACAAGATTTGTGTCATCTGCGTAGCTCACAATATTACATTTTATTGATTTGGCTAAATCATTAACAAAAATAACGAATAATAACGGACCAATCACACTACCTTGCGGAATTCCTATCTTTACGTCTACCGCATTTGATAAATATTTACAATTATTTTTGGTAATTTCCACTATTTGCTTTCTATTCGCAAGGTACGATGCGATCCACCGCAGCGCACTTCCCCTCACACCATATCTCTCTAGTTTAAGTAATAAAATTTCATGATCCAGGCAGTCATATGCCTTGGACAAATCAAGAAAGATGCCCAACGCACACTCTCCATCCTCAAACGCTTTTAAAATACGTTGAGAGAAGTCATACACCGCAGTTTCAATACAACGTCCCTTCAGAAAGCCATGCTGATGAGGGCTAAACATATTACAGTAATTTAAAAATTCTACAATTCTACTACACATAACAGATTCAAATATTTTACTGAAAGATGATAATACACTTATGGGTCTATAATTTTCTATTTGTTTATGATCACCTTTTTTAAAAATTGGTTTGATCAAGGCAATTTTCAATATGTTAGGGAATATCCCATATTTTAATGAATTATTAATAATGAAACTTAGAGGGTAACATAACTCAAGTGCACAAAACTTTAAAATAGAGCAAGGAACTTCATCAAGTCCACTGCTTGCCTTATTTTTTAGTTTAACTAACACATCAAAAACTTCTTCAACCTTTACAGGTTTTACAAACATAGATTTCAAGTTAGCATTTATATCACAAGTGTAATTTTGGGACCTTAACCCACTCAGTAAATTAGGAGCAGCATTTACCATATAATCACTAAATTGATTGGCCACATTTTTAGGTTCTCCTGGAACTTCGATAGTATTAACATTATTTTTGCTTTTCAAGTTATTTACAATGTTCCATGTAGTTTTAACTTTATTATCTGATTGGTAAATTTGACTGGCATACCTGTCCTTTATTGCCTTTTGTAGCAGATCATTATATTGTTTTTTATTTGCATTATACATATCCCTAAATCTATCATCACAGCTCTTCAAAACATATAAAATATCTAACCTATTTTTACAAGAAATCACATTTTTGTTATCACAGTTCTGGTTTTTAATCTTTGGTTTTAGGCATTTTTTGGGAAAACACTCATTAAAGATTGGTGTGAACACACTTACGAACATTGACCATTGCATTTCCACATCACTGTCACAGCACATATACATACTACCCCAATCCTGTTCCTGCAGTTTTCTCTGAAATAATTCCCTCGAATTATTTGAATAGACTCTGCGTATGGTCCCATGCTTTTTTGGCAGGTTCTTAATTTGAAATTCCAACATTTGTCCTTGATGATCAGATATGTGATTATTTACCACTCTTGCGTCTTGATAATCAATGTTAGTGAATATATTATCCAAGCAGCTTTGAGAGTTAGCTGTAATTCTAGTATAATCAAAAATTGACTGATACAGTCCAAAAGAGTTCATTAGAGAGATAAATTGAGTACTTACATGATTGGTCTTTTTTAAACATATATTAAAGTCCCCCATAACAATAATATTTAGGTTTGGTTCATAAAGTTTATCAAGGAGGCTATGCATTTTTTCTAAGAAAACATTCACATCAGAATTAGGTGATCTGTATATACATATAATGACACAAGACCATCCCTCAACTTTTATGTCCACTGCAGCACACTCAAAAACATAGTTCTCAGACCCTATCATTAGATCTACCCTCTTATGGGCATTTACGTTATTTTTACAGTATATAACACTTCCTCCGTGTGAACCTGATTCCCTACAAAACCAAGCGATTGGCTTAAAGTGCGAAAAATTGTATGCCGTTATTCTATCACTGGTCTGCCAGTGCTCCGTGGCCCCAAAACATATACATTTTGTATTATCATATTAAATTCGGGCACGGACTCCATAAGTCCTCATAAAACATTTTCTTTACTTTCACTGTGAAAAACTGTCAATTTTCAAGAAATACATTTCGATTTATGACCTTTATAATCTGTTTATAAAATGTAAAAATGTGAAATTTGACGGTGACACAGATTCCCCTATTGTTTCATAGATGGTGCTCTATAGAAATTTTTGATTTAAATCATTTTAAGATAATAATAAGTATTTGTCGTAGAAAAAGTATAGTATGCACCTCGTTTATAAACTTTTCTATAAACTCATTAATTTAAGCACTCGCTCGCAAGCTCGCTCGTGCCTAAATTAAATTCGTGTATAAAATGGCGTTTATCAAACTTGATACATAATATACTATTTACGGGTTAATTATATGGGAAAACTTTAAATTCATTTAGCGAGTATTAAAATTAAGAGCTCTCCTTTGTAGGGAATTTTTTTTTCTATGTTTAGAACAATATTTCGTCAATGGGGTGAGAAACGAAAAATAGTCGTCTCAAACGAAGCACCCTAATATATATATATATATATATATATATATATATACAGGGTGTAATTAATGTTATATATTAAAATACTGAATACCTTTTGACATAAGGAGTAAAGGAAAAATATTTAAAAAAAATGTTTTTCCAATGATAAAGAAAAAATATGCATAAGAAGTTTTTTATATTTTTTGTGATACGCCACTGGTTACACACTTAGTTTATCTCTGCACACTTGTGTTCTGTGAGTACATAGATACCAACCAACAAAGTAGCTGCGCGTTGCCAGATGTAAAAAATTGTTACTAAAAATTTTTCTTGCAAAAAATAAATAAAAACTCAATAAATACAAAAGTTTTATGCCCTTAAAGCTCTAATACCCTTCTGTATTTATTTACTCATCCAGCTAATAGCTTAAGCAATGATTAGAAAGTTTAGTACCTATTTTAAAAAATCCATAACCACAAAATTTATTTTTTCATCGGTTTTTTCTTTCTGTTTACTCAGATGAAATTGGGACCAGTTCACAGGTTAAACTTTTTTTTTTTTTTTATTTAAAAAGTACATCCTAAATATCACAGTAGCGATAATATCGGATAAGTATAAATATAATATAATAAATAAGTATGTATAATATTGGATTTATATGATAAATAATAAATAAGTAAATATATTAAGTAGATATTCTTTGGTGCAAAATAAAAGTTTTCAAGTTGGTTTTGAAAGTCGTCTCGGGTAGGTTTTTTATATTCTCTGGTAATTTGTTGTATAGTTTGTACCCTTGATGTTTTATTTTCATTTCTCCATATTTTGTTTTGGCTCTTTCTATGTCTATTTGTTCACGTCCTCTTGTATTATGTTCATGTGTGTCCGCTCTTTTTCTAAATGTTACTTCTTCATCCAGTATCTTATTTGTTATGATCTTGTGCACTAATTTATGGGTTTCTAGTTGTCTAAGCTCTTCGATATTTAGCTGTTTGGTGATCTTATAAAGTTGTTCAGTAGGCATGTATTTGTCCATTTTGTACATAATCTTTAATATTTTATTTTGATTTCGCTGCAACGATTTTTTAGCGGTTTCGTTTGCTGTTGCCCAAAAAGGTATGAGGTATGCCAATTGACTCTTGATATAGGAATCATAGACTAAGATTCTTTGTTTAAGAGGAAGTGTGTTTGCTATTTTGTTCATTAGGTATATGTATGAAGAGAGAGATTCATTTAGTTTATGTATGTGTTGCTTCCAGTTTAGTTTATTGTCAATGTGTAGTCCCAGGTATTTGATTGTTTTAACTTCCTTTAGTGGCTCCTTGATTTTGATGTTAATTTGATGTTCTCTTGTTCTGGAAGTTTATAAAGTGACATTTTTTATGATTTAGTGTAAATAAATCCAAAAGCACTTCCCTTAGTTAAGATATTTACAATTTGAGCACATAACCTAAAATTTGAAAGAAATGCACTAGATTCTGTCATAAAAGTTGGCAGATTTTGTTTGAAGTTACCTTCAGTACAAAAATGACATAACAAACAATTAATTAAAACGCCAAATTAACAATTTGCATTGTTAATTTTGTCATTTTTGTAATTCCTAGTCGATTAGTGGCGTACTTTTTGGTAGGATAAAGGTTATTATAAATTATTTTTAGTGTTCTACACCCAATGGTACCTATGTATAATGCATTTTGAACTAAATAAAGATTATTATTATTATTAGTCTTTGGAATTTAGAAAAAAAAAGTTTCAGGTGCTTCTTTACAACCCAATTTAATATATAACATTAATTACATAATACCCTGTATAATGTCGCATTTTTAAGTAAAAATGATGAGTTACTTCGGTTTCATTATTTGAAAACTACATTAAAATTGTTTTTACGTAGGTTGCTGTATGGAACGAAGTGGAAGGCAACACGAGGTTGATAACTGCCGCGAACTTCTGCCAAAACGGAAAATTTGCCGTAGTCGGCACCTACGACGGCCGTTGTATATTTTACATAACGGATCAATTGAAATATCATACGCAAATACACGTCAGATCGTCCCGTGGTCGCAACTCGACCGGGCGGAAAATAAGCGGCATAGAACCGATGCCCGGCGAAGACAAAATTCTGGTCACGTCAAACGACAGCAGAATCCGTCTGTACGACTTGAGAGACCTGAATGTTTCGTGTAAATACAAGGGGTATGTCAACATGAGCAGTCAGATCAAGGCCAGCTTTAGTCACGATGGAAAATATATAGTCAGCGGTTCGGAAAACAGAGATATATACATATGGAAAACCAATCATGATTACTCCAAGTTTTCGTCGGTTCGTAGAGATAGAAACGACTTTTGGGAGGCTATCAAAGCCCATAACGCTGTAGTCACGTGCGCTATTTTTGCACCAAATCCAGAGGCTTTAATTAAAACAGCGGAAGAACACAATAAAACTGTTAAAAGTGATAATTCTAAAAAGGTAAGAAAATATAAAACCTGTGTATTAATTCTTTAATATATTAACTTTTAGGTAGAGGATCCAGTAGTAGAACAACATAAAAAAGGTTGTGGTGGCTATGTTTTAATTTCCGCAGATTTTAATGGAGTAATAAAAGTATTTATGAATAAAACAAAACCAAAACATAGTTCTCTTCCAGTTTCGGCAATGTCATAATTTTATTTTAGATTGTCTTACCCTTCCACCTTATCTATCCTGTTAAGTTTTTAAAATTAAGTAAGAAACTAAATATCAAAAATGTATTATATTTCTAAAATTAATTTATTGACAAATTATGTGATTTTTTATCAAAAAAATTAAAAGATTATTGTAATTATTGTATACTATATATACTAATGTGTTAAATAAAAAATAAATATTAATTCATTTCTGTTTTGTTTTAACCTTTAATAGTAACCGGACAACAATCGGGATTTCCTGGAGAAGTCATGATGATATCACAACGTGATTTTTTTTTATCACGCTGTGATATCCTGAGTGCATACACATGCTTCATCACAGTGATATCATGTAGAACTCACGGAGTGATATTTGCGAATATTTTCTTGGATTTAAATTAACTATATATACTTAGTTAATTTAAAGCCAAGAAAATATTGAATTTCTTTCAATGTACAAATGTTTCGGAAAAATGAATATCCAAACACCGATGGCATAAAAAATCATGTCGGGATTTTTTATGCCATCGGTGTTTGGATATTTATTTTTGCGCCACATTCGTACATTGAAAGTATACCTACATATATGGATATTGAATCAACAGTTTTTGTGGTTAAATACATATTTTTTCGGATTTAAATTAATAGTTAATTTACATCCAAGAAAATATTAAATGTATTTAACCGCAAAAACTGTTAATTCAATTGTTAACATAGTTTTTCTTTCAATGTACGAATGTGGCGCAAAAATAAATATCCAAACATGTCGGTGTACCGATGGCATATAAAATCATTGTCGCCTTGCTCGCAAGCCCGTTTCGTGCAATCTTCTGCGAACCGGTGATTTGGAGATGTGAAGTCTCGTAGCTGCAGTAAAGTCTGCCCGAACTCAGCTAGATGTTAATGTTCGCCTTAGCTGTACGATTTTTCGGATAAAGCGGTCTTGAACCCCCTCTAGGAAGATAGTTTTCGTTTCCAGTTATTTCTACACGGCGAAGGGCTCGTTGGATGCTTCTTCTATGGTTACCATGCACGACCTACTCGTATACGAGGTGTGTTCAGAAAATATCGGGAATTTTCGTTTTTTGAAACAAATATTTATTTATTCGTCTACATTAATGTTGTCGCCTTCAAAATGTGCCAGTTCTTCCAATACTCGAAACACTTCTAAAACTCGATCTTTGGGATAACCTTTAGTTCTTTCAGCGATGCGCTTTTAATGTCATCTATGCTTGCAAAACGACGGCCCTTTAAGGTTCTTTTTATTTGTTGGGAATAGGAAAAAGTCAATATAGAGGCTGGGGCATCATTACAGTATTGTTTTTGGCCAAAAATTTTGTTCAAAATTTAACAATTTTAGAACAAATTTTGCCGCCAAGCGTTTTATACCCAAAACATTCAAAAAAATTTCATGGGATGAGCCAATCGATATACCAACATCATCAGCGACTTCTCTGATGGTTTATAACCATTTCTTCCACTTTTTCCATGTTTTTATCGCGATTGTTAATGTGCTTGTGCGTTCGTCATCTTCAACGTCTTCACAGCCATCTTGGAAACTCTTATACCACTTGTAAACTCTTGTTTTACTTATAGCAGACTCACTATAGGCCTTTGTTAACATTTTACAGAATTTATTTCATTTTTGAAGCAAAATTGGATACAAATTCTTTGATCGATTTCTTTTAACGAACGAAACATCGCCGAGCTCATAAAACACGTCTAACCTTAGCGGCATGCCACAGACAAAGTAAACAATGAAAACAGCTAAAGTTTTTATCATACTTCGGGGGCATCTATACCAACGTAATAAAGAAAATTTTATGACAACCGGACCCTCTCAACCCGCAAAATTTAACAATTCCCGTTATATTCTGAACACACCTCGTATGAATTCCCAATGGCAATGATTATTTAAAGGAAGAATGGAAATAACCTGGGTAAGAAAGGGGTAGGTATGTAGATAGGTAGGTAGGTTTCCAAGAACTAATTTTTATCATTTGATCTTCGATTTGATGATTTAGCGACCTGATAATAACTTACTAAAGATGCAAAACAGTAAAAAAAAAACAGTAAAAACCAGCAATCGGATTTGATTGATACATTTAACAGCCGGGAAATGTTTTCGAATTTTGATTCTTGGTGATTTTGGTTTTATCTGAAACTTAAATTTGACAACTGAATCAAAATCAGGAGGTCAAAATTATAGAGGAAACATGTCACGAACGTAAATATCGGTTCAGGTTTTGTTTTCGCAACTTTTCACCAAAAAGTCATTTTCAAAAAGTGGTCTTTGCTTAGGCCTCTCTGGAAATAATGGAATTTTGTTGCTTGTGTTCTTGTTGTTAAAAAGACTGAGTGTATTGCATACCAAAAAGCCTCAAGTGTACTCTTTTGGAAAAAAATCATATTTTCGTTGCCAAGATTCCATTTCGAAAAATTTTAAAGTTAACAATTGTTTCAAGGTTAGACATAAAACTTCATCATTTCAAAGTAAAAACGAGAAAAAAATATTTTTTTACAAACGGGGCTTGGATGAAGTTATTGAAATTTTTTACCGTTTTACATATTACCCTGTAGGAAATTTACTTGAAGAACCGCGAGCTTCATATCGATAGCATGCATTGTCAGAGGATGAGGCTAGCAGACATTACAAACCAAAATAAAATCGTTCAAGAAACAAAAAAGTTAAGTGTTTTATGGGGCGTAAGGATCAAAATTTAAAAATGACCTTCATAAGGACCACCTTACTATACAGGGTGTCCCTAGATTTTTTCAAGGTGGTTGGCGCCTTTTGGAACACCCTGTATATAGCTTGTCTTAAAATTTAGTTGTTAACTAGTCTCGAAAAAAAGTTTTGTGCATACGGCCATAAAAGATTTAAAAAAGAAATAATTAAAAGAAAAAATGTAAAACTATAAAAATAGATTACAGTATGTTCGATCCATCCACGAGTTTGCCGCGGTTAGCTTTATTTGCAAAACAAACATACCTACCTATCCTGTAAATTAATGTTCGCCTCGGTATTTAAAGTACTACCTATGCGAGTTTAAATCTACGACCATATTGTGCATATTTGTACTGTTCGTACAAAGAATTATATCTATAAGGAATTAAAAACGAAGAAGCCTGTCTCCACAAACTAAAACGGACACTGTAATGTGAGCGATGTCGGCAGAAACTACTCTGAAAACGGCACTAGTAATGCAACTTGAACATACAAATTGCCCATAATCATTTCACAGTAACAACTTTTACGTATTCGGTTAATGTATCGTTATTTAGCCTTATATTAACCCTTACACTTTCAATGCATTACATTTTTCTTTTATATACCTACCAATTCCAAACTATTACCACTATAGTGAGTATTTAATATCGAAATTTCAACAACCAGAGTGCTGCCTAAATTACGAAAATTTTGGAACATAACGTTTTTAAATTACTTTTTCCAAATTACATGCATTTATGTATGTTATTATTGTATTGTATTATTTTGTATACAATGTAGACAATGTATACTATACATTGTCTACCTTAAATACACGCACGCGTAGCCAATTACCAGGTTTTTAACTAAAAATAACTCAAAAACTATGTAGGTTCCTACTTTACATCTCAAGTATTTGAAGTTATACTTCTTTTGGCGCGTTGAGAGTAACATTTTAGCATGCTAATAAAGTGACGTCATAACTTAACACCGTCTCACGAAAAGTATGAAACGATTTTAAACGCCCGTAAATATCAGGAGAGCATGAAGTCGCAGAGGTAAGTCACGTTGATGTGTGCTGCGGATGTTTGTGCAGCTTGGACATAATTGGACAATTAAAAACTGCCCTTACATTTAATTTATGTAAAACCGGATAGTTGAAAACTGTATATTAAAATTAGTGTTTTAAGTAGTTAAAAACTGCCCAAAATCGAACAACATTGGATAATTGAAAACTGCCCTTGCTTGCATAAATTAAAAAAGGGTAGGACACTTTCGCAGAGTGGTTCAAACTTAAAAAATAGTGATAAAAATTTGCACAGTAGAATAAATTTAAAAAATAGTAGACAAAATTCGCACTGTAAGATACATTGAAAAAATTGACAAATTCGCACTGAAATATGGGTGATTCTACCAAAGTTGGGCAATTTTTGACCTCATTTTGTTTATATAGTTTTGGGAGAAAATTAAACAGTATTTTTGTATGAGAACAAAGATAATATAATAAATATACTGTTCCAGACCGGGCCAGTCACTTTTTAAAACAGTTTCTGAAATATCTGTGTTTTCTAAATTTAAATGCAAGGGAAGTGACGAGTATACCAGGGTACTAATTAAATACATAATTTATTGGAAAATATAAGATTTATTGCAACTTTGAGCATATTATACATTAAATATTTTAAAATCAAATAATACCGCATATCAGTGGCGGCTGGTGGATTTTGGGTATACCGATATCTCAGTTATTAGATATGGGACCCAAACCAAATTTATATGAGTTTATAATGACATTAAATACACAAGTTGAAATTGAAGTTTGCGAAAAAAAGATAACCGAAACATCGAACTTGGAACTGACGACACAGTACTCTCTAAAAATGAAACAGTGGATTTTCGCTGATTGACAGTGCATAATAACTATTTGCCGCAGTGATAAGTATACCACTAGCAATTGAGGCGTTTCTCGGAAAAACATCATTAGTCCAATATCGTCAAAATTAAGATATTAGCACCAACTGTTTCCTAACCTCCATATATCAGTGGCGGCTCGTCAGGGTAGGCCTCTGAGGCCGCGCCTCACCCTTAAAATAAAGGAACGAACGACTTTTTGTATTTATATTTTTGCCTATTACAAGTGTATTTTTACAACAGTTCTACCCAATAAAAAGTAAAAAACCAATCAATCATATTAAGCGTAAATAAAAATCCAGGCGCAAAGCGCGTCAAGTTAACGTGCATCGTTGAGTCGCTTGGACAGAGGCGAAATTTTTACAGCCTCGGAAGCTCCCATTTACCTCTTGAAAGCGAAAATGACTCACCAACAAAAATATCGCCGTAAGTTCGCGAATAAACACCGTAGATGAGGCGAAATTTAGTTGGCTTGGTTTGTTATGATTGGTGGTCCGTTTTAGGTGGGATGCCAGCGGAGACAAAGAAGGTTGCCACTTGCCAGTCTTCTCTTAGCGTTTGTA